GACCGGCCTCACTTTTATAACTAATTCTAATAAAGATTAATCCTCCTTTCCTTCAATGCTTCACACTAAGATTAAAGCTTCAATCTAGAAATCCATCTTGGAAGGAGCTAGAAACTTGTACAGTATCCTTATTGTCCCTTTCTACACTCCTTCCCTGTTCCTATCCTTCTTGTGAATTGACAGTATCACTCCTTGGACTAACACATAGAAGCCTACATAATTCTAACTCTCTTTAAACTGGTCTACACCATATCTGGTAAAGAACTGAAAGATAATTCCATATTTTTATCAGAGGATCTTCTTCTGTAGACTTGTTAGAAAAGGATACAACACATCACATTGCATTGCAAAAGCAATACAAGGACTCTAGTTCTTAATGTTGATGTAGAAGTCAGTAGGTTGTTGACTTTTACTTTTTATTTATTTAAGCCAAAATAAAGTCTTAAAATCTTCTCCATTCTACCTAAAGAAAAAAAATTCCAAATAACTAAAGATCTTATGCTTAAGGCAAATGCAGAAATGAAGAATTTTAAAATGCCTAGAGTTTTCAAGGAAAGTGTGTATCAAAGTGAATCAGGAGAATCATGTAATAAGAATACTATGGAGAAACATTTCAAAAATAATCACGATAGACTTAAAAGGGATGACTAACGGAGAAAAGTTGAGTTTCCTCTTCTTTGAAAAAAACCTCCAATAACTACATTCTATTTTAAAAGATAATTTGGTGTCAATAAGAAAAAAACGAGGTCTGGAAAACAAATCAAGTTAATGATAAATAAACTGAAACATAGCTGAAATTTTTGGCAATCAAGTTACTAAGACAGGTGTTCCCNAAAAGTTGAGTTTCCTCTTCTTTGAAAAAAACCTCCAATAACTACATTCTATTTTAAAAGACAATTTGGTGTCAATAAGAAAAAAACGAGGTCTGGAAAACAAATCAAGTTAATAATAAATAAACTGAAACATAGCTGAAATTTTTGGCAATCAAGTTACTAAGACAG